AATATTTTGAATTTGTTTAAGTTCACTGGAATCAAGATAAAACTCTAGAGAATTTATCGTAATTTATTGAATTTATCTGAATGATTACCCATATATTTGATAGCTAGAAAGAACAAGAAAAATATCGGTTCGTCGGGCTTGCTATATACACTCTATTGTGAATTTTTGTATCTGACAAAAAAATTTGTACGCCTGAAGCACATATTTTCTGTTCGAGTTGAGCATTTTTTTCCCTCTTTATTAGATGAAACGAACCGTCTATTAAACGTTCTTATTTTAGCCATAGGACAACTATGAAGAACAAATGCTAGTATCATATTATTATATAAATCGACATTCTTCATTGATATGTCAATGCTATACGGAATATAGGTGAATTATTAAAAAATGAATCGAGAAGATTTTATATACTTATAAACTTACAGTTCACTAGAATATATTTGTCTTACGAGAGAGCATATGTCCAATTACCAGACACTGTTCGCTCTATGAGACAAACGGGAGAATCAACTGAAGTGATACCAATACGTTTGACTTCGTATTGGGACTACAAGGGAGTCTCAATAAGCCTAGAAAAATTCTAAAAGGATTCGTTCGTATAGGCTTTTGGATCCAAGTTAGGATCATTTTACTAATAAAAAAAAAGCCGAAAACAATATATATCGAATTTACTTAAGATTTTAATATGTTAACAAAAGAAAAAAAGATTTTGAATTTTTCACAAATACCAAAAAAAAAATGGGTCAAAAATTCCATAAAATATGAGCTGAAATGGAGATGGTATCAGTTCGAGAGTCTTCTTGTCAGAAATGCCTTACGACTCGTATACTGAATTTTTTTTTAATCTTCAAATTTTGCCTATAAACCAAGTTAATAATCATTGAAAAATTTCAAAGAAAACATTCGAAAATGTTTTGCTCTGATAAGAAAAGAATTCAGTAAAGCAACTAGAATATGTTATGAGCTCAAGTCTTTGTAGACCTTTCATGATCTCATAGACATAAAATCAGATCGAACGATATTCGACAGTTACGAATGTTCTCTCGTTAATTTTTCCTATCTCATTAGTTTTCTTGCGAGCTTTTCTATTAGAGATTTCATAAGTTGAATTTCAATTTTCATAGTCGAAAAAGTACTTGCGAATTCCAAACAAACCTCTCCATTCTGGATTTGGATCTGTTGCAAATGTATAATAAATAGGTCCAATAATTTCATTCATGCCTTGTACATAACTTTGTCCTGAATTAAGTTTTGAAAAAATAAATAAAATTCTTTCAACAACTTCCCAATGTGCTTCATGTCCATCAGGTAATAATTGATATTCATTAATATCATATGTTGTTAATGAATGATTTGTTTTATTTTGATGTTTTAATTCTAATCGACCAGTTAAACGTGATTCAATTCGAGATTCAACTTTCAGTGCTGTTGATTCAATACGTTTACGTAAACTTTCAAAACCAATTTCTTGATTTAATATTTCAGAACATGGATATTCAGTTTCACGTTGAAAAAAAGATAAATCTGGACAAAGTCGTCTATTTAATATTAAATAATAAATACATTAAAAAAACAAAAAAGAAAAAGAGAGACTAACCGAACATCTTTATCAATTTGTAATAAAACTTCATTTTCTTTAAAATAAATAGCCCATGAACTATCGGGTGCAGAATTTAATGGCTAAAAGAATATTTTAATTAATATTGATAACAGAAAAACTTTAAATTAAAAGAACTAACATGATCGAATACATTAGATTCTGATGTTGATATAAGACCTGGTTTTATAATTGTTTCTCGAATATAACCACGATATAATTCACTATGAAAGAATTTTTTATTAAAAACTAAAAATTCATTTGCTTTTCTTTTTTTTTTTACCGGTGTTTACTCAAATGTGTTGACCATTTAGTTCGATCGAGTACAAGATAATTGAGTAAAATCTAATGTATTCAAACAAAATAAATTAAATAAATTATTCAATTAACTTTTACCTTCCAAGTTAGACTACGAATACCATTTTCAGCTGGACAACCTAATAAAATAAAATACAAAACAAAAAAAACATGAATAAAACATTGTTTTAATGAATATTTTTAACCATTAAATGCAAGTGTTTTGAGTTTTTTTAAATCGATCATATCACATTTGAGTATTGTTTCGAATTGTTCAATTCTTAAAAAAAAAACAATACTAATGTTGAAATTTTCAAGTTTTATATAAGAATTAATCCATACGTTTTTTGATAGGAGGCCATCTATGAAAGATGTCCGATCAAAAATCGTTGTTTTTAAGCCCTTCTCTGGATCCGATTTAACAAATTTTCTTTTACAAAATGCTGAAAAATTCTCCAAACGTTCGTATGTGTTTGAAAAAAAGGCAGAATAACATGCTATTGGATGGATGATCTGAGATAAATAGCTGTTAGTAATTTGTTCGAGGTTATTTCATAGCAGATAATACTGAGATTTGAACACAATACTTTGTGGATACGTGTCGAACAACACAGCCAATGGCGGCGTATGTGTTTGATACTTCTTCCCTTCTGTACGGAACTGCGAGTTCACTTTTTTATGGACTCGGCTAGTGACTGTTGTGACTTACCGTTGTTACGGATACTACAATAGGGTGTGGGTATGGATGTTGGGCTTTTCCAATTACCAACCACATCCACACCCACAACCCACAACCCACACCCACACCCACACCCTAGAGCGCTGAAATTTTTACCATATATATATATCTATATCTAATCAAGATCTTTTATTTCTGAAAATTGCGGTTCTCTAGCTATAAGTATTGGTGAAGCATATTGACAAGATTGAAATACTTAAATTTTCGTACTCGATTTTTGCATTTTATTTCGCATGTAAAAATAATACAAAAATCAAATACGAAGATTTAAATATTTCAATCTTGTCAATGTGTTTCACCAATAGTTATAGCTAGAGAACTGCAATTTTCAGAGATAAAACATCTTGATGAGATATATATGTGATACAAATTTCAGCGCTCTATGTCAAAAAAAGTATATAAAAAATATTATTAACAATTTATCATCAGTTATTATGAGATACGCTTTATCATGTTACACATCATTGACTCGATTTTTCGATATAGTTTTAAAATTCAACATTCAAATAAGCTGTTCTTTTCTAGTAATAATTCGTTTGAAGTCACACCTTCATCAGTTACTGAAATTGACTTGTTTTATGTGAACAAACGAGCTATTCGAAATCTTTTCCGTAATACGAGTCACTTAAGCGTGTGTGGGTATGGATGTGCGTGTGGATATCTCTTTACTCACACTCACACACCCACATCCACACACGTACACCCTCAAGATGGCTTTCTTTTTTTTCTCTAAAAAATGATACATAAGAAATTCATCATGCACTGAAACACTTTTCTAGGCTATAAGACATTCTTATTTCAGAGTAAATACTTAGTGAAGTTATTCTTTTATGACTACATAATATTGATTTTCAAATTCTTTTGGAATAAGATGGGGGAAAATAGCGATCTTTACTAAAACGATTGTTTGTCTCATAAATGACATTAATATATAGGCATCACTTCGTAATTAAACAGATAAAAAATTGTTGAAGAATATTGTTTTAATGAAATCAAATAAGAATTTAGTCTATCGATCTTTAAATTTTCCTGATATTTTTTTATTAGGAAAAAGTGACTATATTGATTTATTTTTGTCTAAAGATGGCTTCTCGGAATACAAGAAGGACATGAGCCATTGCTTGTCAATTACGTTGTGGATTTGGTTTTTTGAGGTCACATGCATTGTTATGAAAGAACAACACCCGTCAGATAACAATTTTACCGACCGAGATCTTTTCTCGCTTGATGGAAAACTCTACATTTGTAATGCTACAGAAGTCAGTCAGACAAGTCCTATTCAATAGGCCGTTAGTACAGCTAGCACTTGGATTAAATAAAAATGGCCACAAGTGAGATTTCAGAAATATGATTTTGGCAAACTTCTGATTCACAATCAAACTCATCTTCAATTCAAAATAATTCCAATTTATTCGTCTTCTGAAGATCTCAATGATTCTTTTATGATTGTTCGGCAATTTTGATCCAAAATAAAATTTCTCAAAGGAGTGATCCATCTTTACGTCTATACTCAGGAGCATCCATCATGAAAAGAAGCAAAATGAATCTTGTGATAGACAAGTGCTACTTTTATCGCATAAGATAAGAAAAGGGTAAAGGTAGTGTAGCGTGAGACAAAGTATAGGAGTTGCTTTTTTGTTGCAAGTGAGAGGATGCACGAGTTTTTTCTTTTTCTTTATCTATCTGTGTATGACGAGCGCGATAAGTTTATTTCTTTTCTCCTCTGCTAAAGGTTACGCGCACACGCAGACCATCATCGAACCAACACTACATATTCGATCCTAACTATTAAATTATAATTGTTAACCTTGTTCGATATGGCTTCGGAAGGACTTACTGTTCCAAATGGTTCTGCTATTCCTTCTAATGATAACTTGCACCGTAATGCAAATGGAGTGGCACCACGTGATAAAAATAGGAAAGCATACACACAACCACGAGCTACAGACGAAGATCTTCAAAATACATTCAATCCGAAGACTTACATACCAGGCTCCTACAAATATTCTCGCCAATACTTACATGAACGCTTAAGTCGTTCCATCTTGCATGAATTCAGTATTGATGAACAGAAAGCAAGAATCGAATTGGCTGCCGCTTATCGACTAGCTGCGAAGAACGAGTGGTTAGAATCGATCTATGGTCATATTACTTGTAAAGTGGTTGAACCAAATGGCGAGCATTACTTATTGATCAACCCTCAAGGCCTGAACTACCGTGAAATCACAGCCTCATCACTGGTTAAAGTTGATTTCGATGGATATACAATGCACCCAGGTGTAGTGGGTGACATCTTTGGAGTGAATAGAGCTGGCTTCATGATTCATTGTTGTATCCATCAGGCTCGTCCAGACGTTCACTGCGTGAACCACAACCATATCTGGGCTGTGTCCGGGCTTTCGGCAACAAAGAGTGGAGTGATGGAATTGACATAGACTACACACGAGATGGGAGAAGTTG